GGGACAGGCGGAGAGAGAAAGAAAGGAAGTGGAGAAGACATCACAAAAACGCCAAGAGACTGGACCCTCATACTGTTACTGCAGCTGGCCAAACCACAACACAATAGGCCCGTGACTCAATCAAAACAAATTTCAAGCACCAGTCTAAACAATGGGAACACTATCGCTGCATTTTCTCACATATAAACATAGACCCTTAAGTGGGTTGTACCCTCCCCTCTTAACATTTTTTCCCCCCTCCTAAAAGTGTCAAGTAAGGCTCCCAGGCCAGGATAAGACAAGCATGTCAGTGTATAAGATTTGTACTTCTAAGCTAAAACCACATATGCATACTTAAATTACATAAAGTTTGACATACTGCCGCCATCTAAAAAGTCTATGTACTAAGTGCTGAGAGGGTCATTTTTCTTCACAGAGTAGGCTTTGTGGAGGTCAGGGGAGTGAGAGAACGGGATGACTGTGGGGGTTAATGTTTCCGATTCTATTTCCTCCCACCCATAGAAACATTAGCCGGGGCGTCGCTCTGATTTAAGCCCAAATCTCTCTCCTCCACCTCCCACTCATAACTATTCCCCCCCCTTTTTTGGTGAAGTAGTACAGTTTTAAAAACATCCTCTCATCTCTTGTGTGCAGCTCAGAGCGAGACCCACAGTCTTTTCTATTTTTTTTGTGCGTTTCGGATTCCTTCCCCAATTATCCCGGGTCACTAATAAGGCGGGGTGTGGAGGCACTGGGCTGTGCCGCAGTGGCCTAGAGGCTCGGTGCCAAATTGAAACGACTCGGGAAATAGAGGCAGACGCTGGATCTTCCCTAATTGCAGCAAGAGTGTGTGAATGGCTGCTCAGATGTGCGTGTGTGTGTGAGAGAGAGAAATTTACAGAGAGTGATGAGGGTCTGAGAGAGAAAGAGAGAGAAAGAGAGAGAAAAGATGAGAGGCAACAAATAAAAAGAGAGGAGAAGGGGAAAGAAATGAGGGATGGAGACTGAAGGATGAGTGGCAGTCAAGCAAGATTGGGTAAACTCAGAACTTGGGAGAATGAGGGATTTTCTTCTGGCCCTTTTCTTGCCCTCCCTCCCTCCTTGCCTCTTTTTTTTCTCCTCGCCTATCAAAGTCTTTTGACAGCTGACTTCTGGCTGCACACATCAGAGGGAGGAGAGCCGGGGCACGACTGAGACAGAGAGAGGAGGAGAGAGGGTATAGCCACCAAAGCTCCTGCTTGAACAACACTTCCTTTCATGTTTCTGGACCGGGACATGTGGTTAGAGATGACCCTCGATGCACTTAACAGACTTTAGTAATTGTAAAAGCATCAATTTTAGGAAGACATCCTGGATCAAGTGATTGAAAATACAACCTCTTGCTCACATGGACTTATAAAAGACATCCATTTTTGCTTGTCAACAAAAGAGCACCTTCATAAGGGTCTGTCTGAGCAAGATGACTCACATGCAGTTTTTATGGCAGTTTGCGAGTGTTTGCAACTCTGCGGCCCCTCGCCGGCCAGATTAAAAGGCCACCTTTGTAAAGAGTGTCTCCCCCCTGTGAAAAAAATGCGCAGTGGCTGAAACGGGAGAAAGCCTCCGGGGCATGTATGTGTCTCGGCCAGATAACTATCTGAAAGGCTGTGAATCAGCAGGCTTAGTCTGACAAAAGGCAAAACGGCGCACGCGAGGGAGAAACTAAATAAAAGAAGGGTGCAGGAGCAGGGAGGAAAGGTGGGGTAAAACTGCGCATTTCCAGTCAGTGTGAGAAAAAATAGGGGGCTGGGGCACGGAATGACGAGGGGAAGAGACGGAAACCCTCATTTCACATTGTCAGAGTAATGACTTCTCAGAGTGCTGTTCCACTGTGGTGAGAGCCAGCTGTGTGGCGGGCCCAGTGTTTGACATGCTAAAGATAACAAAGAGAAGCAATGGCAAGCCAAACTCCTGGTTTGCCTCACAGGCAGAAAAACTCAGCAGAAGCCATAAAATATGTTAATATGAACATCTATTAAGTCAATTTTCCCTTCATAAAATCTACCTAGACTGAAACATTTCACTTTGTTATGCTGAACATACTTCATTATGACTGTACAAGCGCTAAAAATATTATCCAACGACGCAAAATGTTCACTGTCTTTGAACCATCATACAAAGAGGTGTTCAAACTGTGTCTTCGAATTTAACTCATTAACAAATTTCCTTTAAGATTTTTCATATGGAGCAGAGACAGATGGGGTAGAGGCTAGGGCAGATGAAAAGAAATAGACAAACGAGTTCATTTAAAGATGTTTTTTGGCGTCTACACCGAGCTAACCTCAATCCAGCTCTTTGGGATCTGCATAAATTGAGGGCTTGGGGAGTTGTGGCAGTATCCTTGGTATTATGCATATTAGTTTAAGGCTGTCACTGAGAATCAGCAAGGGTGTCCATCCCGCTGCGGCTAGGCGCTGCTAATTATTGGATCAGAGATAAAGTGCTTTTTAGCGCTCGCTTTCTCTGCGCTTTGAAAACCGAGAGAGAAAAAAGCGGAAAAGAAAAGAAGCCCAATTTCGGGTTCAGAGAGAGCCACTGGGTCAGGAATCGATCAAGTGGAAAACCTTTGTCTGGTTGGGGCGATTTCGACGTAGGCCCAGATTTGTCACATCTGCCTGGCTTTTTTCTGCTGCCGAAAAGGGAGCGGAACAACAGGATGCTACCAGACTCACAGGGAGGGAGAGGGAGGGAAGGAGAGAGATAGAAAGCAGAAAGATCAAGAGAGAGTACGGAAGACTGAAGGAGGGAAAATAGAGATGCCTTTGCCACATATTGGGAACGTTAATCCTTCTTTTGACAAAAAAAAAAGGGACAGGTGACAGTTGAGCATTTGACATGGCATCTGAATCAATATATCTCAACATATCATTCACATGTAAAAAAAAAAAAAAAAACCCCACTGCTGAGTGCCTTTGTCATGAAGGCATTATAGACACCCTGAAACCCCAGATACCATGAAATCTTGTTAAGGTATAGCATCTCATTAAGTTGCTGCCAAACAAGCTGCTGAATCCTGCTCCGCTTCACAAAGATGCAGAGAAAGACAACACATGTAGTCCATATGGGGCTGAGCTGACATCTTAGCCTCTACCAGCAGTAAAAAAAAAAAAAAAAGCTCAGCGCGAGTAAAACTGTTTTCAGATGAATCACTTAGTCCATGTTTAGAAAACACCAAGTGGATGAGATGTCTGATTTATTAAGCAATCATTTTTCCTTTTTATTTGGACTTTTTCCTCTAACACACAATGGAAGAAACAAACCATAAACTGCTGACACAACATCTGACCTTTCATCCAACCAGCGCTCAACACAAAAACATTCAAATCGAGCCAGTTCAACACAGACACACACGCGCACGTTTGATTGCACACACACACAAAAGGGAGAAAATCCAATGCCTATTGTGCTGAGGCCATTGAGCAAACTCCACACACAAAGCACAATCCCCCTTCAGGTCTTAACACCACTGACACAATGACTATGGCGAGGTTAGGGTGGACCTTTTTAGGATTAGTCTGTTAGTACATACTCTCAAGTCAGTGTTTAGCAGTTTAAAAAGTCTTGACATATATTGAACTGATCAGACAGGGAGGGGATAGAGGGGGTTTTTGTCTTACCATTTTCTCAGATGTACGCCGTTTTCATTCTCTGGCCTGTACCTGCAGAAAATTGCATCTTTTAAAAAAATCTGGGCGGCATAGATCTTTAACCGTCCGTTTGGCCTACACAGTGTACAGACCAAAAAGAAAAAAAAAACTGACATTTTACTTAAGATGTAATTCTCAATGGATTACAGTTGCAGTGCTGAGAGGAGAGGCTCATAAGCGCAGCTAAACAAGGTCAGCAGAAAGACATACTGTAAGTTCAGCAGGCAAACAAATAGTGCAAAGCCCAGAATCGGTAAGTAGTCGTATAGAATGGACAGACTAATCCCAAAGTAGGTGTAATGTGTGAGGGCAAGGATGAGAGAGAGTGAAGGAACAAATGAATGGAGGGATGCATATAAAGAAAGTCTATAAGAAGTGAAGGACTCGACTTTTAGAAGAGTTTTTCCCCAATCTACTGAGATTAGTTATATTTTTTTACAGCTTTACAGAGGCATTATTAAAAATGCAGCAGTATACTGTAAAAGAATATGTGTTGTCTATGGAAAGATGGCGTAACTCACAACGTCAAGATGCAACAGACAGAAAAAAGAAAAAAGAGAAGGAACTGGGACGGGACCGTTCACTTACCGGGGGCCGTTTCCTGCATCTTCTCCCTCTTCCGCTTCTTCTTCTTTCCCTAAAAAATATACAGAGGAACACATAAAGTGTGGCTCCAGCACTCACGCTCACTAGACCACTCTGGTATCCTGCTGCTGACTGCCATGTTCACTCATCCCCTGCTGGGCAACCAACCAGCATCCCTTGGACTCCGGACTCCACGAGCAAACTGCCACGCTGAGAGGAATGGACCCAGCAAGCCTGGGCTAATGTTAAGTGTGCTCTACCTGCTTTTAAATGACTTACTTTCTATCACTTTTTAGGGCTTTTTAAGCTGGGACCATCCTAACCGGATAGAGGTACAGCTTGTCCCGCTGTTGTGACCAGTCTGTGCCATATTTCCACTACCTTTGAAGTCCCTCTAATGACAAATATTAACATGAAGTGCAATTAAAAATGCTCACTGTAATTAGGCTAGTCTAGCTCAACGACTGTGAAGAGCGACACTCTTTTTCCAGCGAGGTGGTGGGAGTGTGTAAGGATTTATAGCTTATGCTAAATCCCCAGGGGGGAGACTATAGGTATAGATAGCAGCGTAGAGTCGTTCTAGTCAAATATGAGCAGCACTTTGGTTTCCTGCTGCAAAGTCTGCTAATCCACTTATTCATGAGCTAATCTGCCTTCTACTGCTGCGGCAGACAGGGAAGAAGAAGAGACTAAGTGAGAGTGGGTGAGAGAAAGGATGAGTGAGGGGGTACACAGCAAAACTATGAATGCTACACGCTCCCCATGCCAGTGCGTTACCTATTTTGGGTGTATCCAGGCATGATGTGTTGTGCCTGTGCACAGCTGAGGATTTTGTTTGTGGGAGGGGTCACAGAAACATTTATTTGTAAGAAATGTTTTGCGTTGAACATATCATTTCCCTTTATCTCTTTGGTATGCCAAGTAGAAAGCCATTTCACCACTTTTTTTTTCTTCCTACCCGTCAAATATGTTTGTACTAACAAAGCTGGAAATTAAATGGGAACTGGGCTAACTGTCACTAGCTGATGTTGTGTATCTTTAACTGCGCTGTGCTTCACTGGGAGCAGAGCTGCAAAAAAAAAAAGTCTCCCCCCCTCAGCGAGGCATTTTGGCAGCGGAGCAGTGGAGGCAGAAGGAGGAGGGATGCTGTCGGTGTCCGAGGGGAGGCAGATAAACACCACAAAGCACTTTGGTGGTGGAGTGAATGTGAGTGCCGGAGCCACACTTTTAATAAAGGCTGGTGCTCTCTCTCACAAATTCATACACGCCACATACTCGGAGACAGATCCGACACAACTTCCAAGCCAATACACAGAACACATATGCACGCACATACACTGTGATATACACCAAAAACAGACTTGCATCTTAAATCCAGCTCAACCTCCCACATTCGCAAACAAACTGGGCGGCTGGAGGAGCAAAGGTTGCTGCGGCTGATTGCTGTATGTACAATCAAGCCACCTCAACTCAGTCTAACAGGTACTTTTTACATCCAAAGCTCCATGCTGATATGGAACATCAAAGACTAGCATAACCATTACCAGGCAGTTTTCGCTCACTGTGGCAATAATAATGTCCATGATACTACAATCCATTTTACTGTGGATGGTAATATAACAGTGAATCACAGTGTTATGAATTACACATTAGGCTGAAACAAAGGCTCAAATGAACCCCATTAGCATGGAGCCGACTAGTGTGAATTAGTGTGTGTGTGTGTGTGTGTGTGTGTCATTATTGGGTGCCATTTAAGAACAAGTCATGCAACGCTGACATAAACAAACAACATGAATCAACATACACACACACGCGCGCACCTCTGGTAATCTGTTCTGTTGATACTTACATAATTGTCTCGAGCAGACCAGCCTGGGTAGAGCTGCATGTGGAGCTGCCGTTCCTTGCGGGCTAACTCATAATACTTAGCTTGCTCTTCCCGAGATAAAGCATGCCACTGTTTCAGTACAAAGGAGATTAGGGGGGAAAAATAGCATACAGTCAATTACTGGCATGCACTTGCATGTTGTCTGCATAAAGAAGTGTGCTGGTGTTTTGGTAAAAAGAAAAGAAAAAAAAAAAAAAAATCTTCTTTTCAACTTCCAAATGTTTGGTGTAGAAAAAAATGGGGATAAAAGAGAGACAAAGAAGAAGGGGGGACACATGATGAAGAGATTAACATTCAGAGAGGGAGAGAAGAGAAGGAAAAAACTTTGATTTCCTATCAAAACACTGGTTCCAATTTAGCAGCGCTTTTTATTCAAACTATGTCAGCGAGCAATTACCCCTATGCAGGCCACAAACTAGGCTTTGCTGTGGCTGGCTGCCTCAACCGCTAGGCCTATTCGTTAAGGCTTTTAACATGGCTCTGTGGTTCCACTCTTTTCCCAATCCTCAAAAGGAACAAATTTTGTCATTTCCAACCGTGCCATTATCCAGGCATATTTTATTAAAGCCAATTTGATTAAATGTCAGTTAGATAGGCGGTCTGTATCTGTGCTGCTGAGCGAGAAGTAATTGGCGGGGGCAATCATTATGACAATAATCACGACTAGTTCATAAAAGACTGTATGTTAATAGAGAGAGGAAACCTTGTACTTTTTAAAACTAATTGGGTCTGGGAAGGCAGTGCATGCAGCCTCTTTAGAGCCATGGCTTGAACTGTGATCTCTTGCTGATTTAACTCAATCAACAAAGATGGACTACAGCGACAAAGAGAATGAGGTCGGTGCACCTACCCTTCGTCCCAGGATCTGATTGATGGCAGCGCTCTCCTTCAGTGTGCACTCGGCGACCACATTTGCGCGCATCTCTTTCATGTAGAGCATGAAGGCGTTTAGCGGCTTCTTGATGTGCGGTCTTTTGGGCTCCTGCTCCTTTCTCTGTTCGTGCTGGGGTTTCCTGTACAGACAAAAACAACAACAACACGGATGGAGGTAAAGACGATGAAGAAACAAAAATCGGGGAATAAAAGAGCAAAGCAACAGAGGAGGGGAAATTGCGGTGCCGCAATGGCGACAAAAGCTCGAGAGCTCTGATTGCTCTCAGCCAATGGTGAGGCAGCGTGAGAGGGGTTGCCACGCCATGGCCCCTGTCTCTTTAATCATGTGCAGTTGCACAGTCGCAGTCCTTCATGCGGAGAGATTACTTCACCAGTAATGGCAACCAAACCTCTCGTCCACAGCACATTGGCAATCGCTTAAAACTGACACACACTCAAAAGACACTCTGCTCCCACTCCTGACTTACTTTCTAATAACATTTTTGATACTAGTACAGTCTTGGTGCTGGGATGGCCATGAATAATGGAAATATCAGTGATAACCACTTCAGGGCGCTCACAGCACTTCCCACTGCACACACTGGGGATGTGAATTCAGCTCATCCGAGCACTAATCTAGGACCTGTATCTGTTGCTGGCTAAGTGTGTTGTGATCCCTGAGGCCAAATGAAGCATAGGCCTGTTATCAGTAGAGCACGGGCCCTCGCTACTTATCTGCTCACATCAAGGGAATGAGAACAAGCCTCTGACGGAGGGTTTGTTAAGCAATGGCCTACTGTAGTGGTAGAGCACACAAATACCTGGAAGTATGTCGTCTCAGAGAGATAGAGGGGAGGAGGGGGAAAAAAAGTGTGTGAAAGTGTTTGATGAAGGTATTTTGTGTTTGCAGGACTCACATGTGCATGATGTCTGTTTCATGCAGAGGCTCGTGTTTGACCTGTGGATTGACGATGGCCGGGTGGGGGATCCCTGTGGCGTGGGGACCTGGGGGGCCCGGCACCATGTGGTGTGAGAACCTGCAATAACAGCAGACTCTGATTAATGAAGAGGACCAAGAAGGACAGTAGCATGGAAAGGGTCCCATTAAATGTCACCTATGTGAAATAGAAAAACGCAACAAGTGCAACAGCGGTCACAAACAAGGAAAGAAATCCATTCACACATTTTTTTTTAAGTTGTGTCTTGTATCTCTAGATCTTTTTTAGCACTGAAATGATCAACCTCTTTCTGCAATATTAGAGTAGGGAAGTGGAGCAGAGGAAAGCTTTAATGTCCCCAAGGGCCAATTTGGCATACGGACAGCAGTCAATAATATTTTTTATAATATCCTGATGGGCACAGTAAACAAGACCACATGAAAATGTCCTTCCACAAGAGGTTGCACGCAAGACAATACACAAAATGATGTTTAAATTATTAGAATTCTCTCTAATCTTTGCTTGTTGAACACTGTACTGTTCAGACCTCTACAAATGATCTAAATAAACTGATTAACATGCAAGGGATCACAGTTTAAGAAAAGGTTGGGTACCATTGGTTTATATGATTACATGGGCATTTACAGCATACGTTTGGATCCAAAGATCCAAAGAACCATAGTAGCTAATAAAGGAACAACAACTTTCTGTAAGTTGTGCTTGTGTATCTCACTGCAGCTCAAGAACAATGAAGATCAGGCAAAATAGGAGAAACTGACAGAAACGTATAATCGCCTTTAATTTGTTTGACTTCCTTTCAGAACTGCTTTGGATATGTTTTTCTTTCCTTGTCACCGTCTTCAATTGTCTTCTGTGTTGTCATCAGTCTATCGGTGGGTTCATAATGTCTGTGTCTCCATTTTCCATTTTGTTCCATTTGTCTATTTCGTTCAACACTCACTTCATCATTCTGTGGTTATGTTTCAACTGGCTGCTCTTTTTTGAATAAATGTTTGTCATGGGAAAAAAAAGATTCTTGTAAAACATGAAATTTACCGATCAGCAATGTTCAGTACTGCAAACACAATGCTTCTGCGGTCCTAGGGACTTGTTGTGAGGTACAAACTATGACCAAGGATCCAAAATCGGACCTCAACTGGAAAAGGGGGGAAAGTTCCTAAATCTAAAAATGGGTTAATATACAGTATGTATGCAGATTTAAGAGGGTCTGGGGAGGAAAACAGGAGGAGAACGTCTGGGCTTTAACCGCCGCCTGATCCTGCACCTTACATCTGGCTTCACTCAGTGTATGCCTAGAGCCCTGTCTTCACAAACATCACACTGACAGAGAGAGAGATAGTGTGGAAGAAAGAAAGAATAAGAAAGAGGGAAAGATATGTTGACAAAAGGGAAAAAGCACGGGAACGGCTGTGACAAGGATGCGGTCAAAAAAGGAAAGAAAAGAAGTAAAAGATACAAAAAAAAGTAGCGATGTTAGGCTCAGAGAGAGAAGTGCTTCCAGGAAGCTTTGATGGGGGTTAAGCAGCCATATGGTTATGCAGGGGCACGTATGTGGTGATGTGTTTGACATGTGTTGGGCACACAGAGGAGTGGTGAGGCTGAAGCCACAGCAGTGCAGCAGGAACAGCCAGAGGCAGACCTCCCCTGTGTAGGCTGCTGCTGCAGGCCACCAGTCCTCCATTCATTACACAAAGCCAGTACAGTGTCAGTATGCATCTGATGGGAAGAGACAAGATAGTAATTGCCCCTTGTTTACACGACTCAACTGTGCATGCTTTTGCTTTTGTTTGTCTGTGACTCACCATCCCAGCGGTGGCGTGATCTGCCCAACTCCTCCAGGAGACAAGGAGTAGAAGTTGGGCATGTCTGGTCCTGGGTGATGCCTTGGCATTCCTAGACAAACAACAATGGTACACAAATGTTAGATAGCATTGAGGCTCGATACCCGATGCAATTTTTTAAATTATATCTGCATCCCATGGATCTAAGCACCAATCAAAAGTGTCCGTAGCACTGAGGATCAAAAGTGGTGCCAAAACTTTCTTCGGCAACCCTTGTACAATAAAGGAAAACTTTATTGTGAGACCAATGTGTTTAAGCCTCTGGCATTCATTATAAAAACACATTACAAAGAACATTTAAACAGATGAAAGAAAGAATAAATAATATAAAAGACAATCAAACCACATTACACACAGTTTCTTGTCAATGCCAATTGTTTCCATCAGTTACATTCATTCTGACAATTTTGGCAACGGCAACCTCTGGACTTTATCTTACATAAATATGGCAAAAAGAGAGCGCTGGTATTGGATCAGTGCTTATCAGAATGTATGTCAGAAAAGAGAGTTGGATTTCTGAATCCATATAACGAGCAACAATGTGTGAAAGTTCATTCTTGACAGCTTGACAAAACTCAAGGTTTACTTACTAGCTTGACAACTGAGCGAACGCCATCTGCTGGAGAAGACTGAACTACGGTTGAAAAGCAGGTAAATGGACCTTGAGTTACGATTTGTCTTTTTTTGTTCAAAACCTATTACTCGGCTTTTCCCATCCTGCTTCACTACAAGTCAAGGACAGTGCACGTCGGCCCTTAAATGCGCCTCATGACCTCACATTATACAACAGTAAGAAAAGGATAATATTTTCCCTGCTTAGCTAGAGTCCTTTCAGTATGTTTCAGCGTCTTTAAGCTGGTTAATTGAGGCTTCCTTTTTGTGGCACAGGCTGCGGCTCTCCCTGTAGACACAGGATTGACTTGGACTAACTGTCCGTGGATCTTCGGGACTAAGCTGCTCCATCTCCAGCTCGCCTACTCCTGCTGGGTTTCAAGGTCAAGGGGTCCCTTTTTATAGGAAGTTGTCGTCTCAGATAGATGGAAGGGGACTTAACTGGGAACAGGGCTGTAAGAGGACTAAAATGTAACAAAATCTTCTTGTTTTACATCTATTTGTTGTTGTTTTTAAGAGCAGAGCAAGTAATAAGAAGAATTAAAGTGTGTCGATATTATGAAATACTACTCACACACAGACAAGTGCAATGCGCCTACATCTGTGCTCAAACACACACGTATACACACAAAGAATAGAGGGCAAAAGCCTCCAGATTAGCACCATCTTCTAATCCCTGCTGGAGCCAGTCCTTTCTCCCTGGCTCTATCTTTTCTCTTCCTCTTTCTCTCTCCAGGCTGTGGTCTGAAGGGGCCTCTCTCCTCAGAGAAGCAGAGCGAGCAAGGGGGCTTATATCTCCAAAGCCAATGTTGCAACGCTGGATTCATAGCGTGCATAGCACTACCCCCTGCCCACTAATCCACCACGTAACACTCCTAAGGGTCCTCCTGAGGGCAGAAGGGAAGGAGGCAAGGGGTGAGGTGACGAGGGAGGAGGAGAGAGCCCCAGCGTGTTAACCTTGTCACTCACACCCTAAGGTGCCTAATTACTCACTCCCTTATTTCACACGTTCCCGTCGACACACTGCACAGCTTCACAATCGCATTTCCTCCCAACAAACAAGCAACACTGTAAAACCTGGAAACAATCTATATTCAAGTTATTGTTTCACATGTCATATGTATTTTGTTTAAAGAAATTTAAATAAGGTTTAGATGTAAAATGTTCAAAGCCGGCCCCCCTCCTGCTCGACCTTCCATCCTGCATTGCAGCCCTGCGCATATTAGAGCTCATAATGAGAAAATCCATGATTGTTTTTCATAATTAACGAGCAGATCAAAGTCTGAGCCCACTAAGGAAGGCAGAGCAGCAATTGGTCGATATGCGAGAGAGAGAGAGAGAGAGAATAAGGGAGATTTCATTTTAAGCATCTTCAGCTTAGGCCTGCTGGTTTACACACACACACACGAATATGCCTGGGGAAATCATTTGCAGCTAATTCTGAAACTGGATTGCTTGGACATGGATTTCTTCTGGGCTGCGAGTGCAAAGATCAATTATAGTAAGAAAAAGACCTCCAGGGGTCTTCCACTTTTTGTCAGAAACTTGGTGGATCTGTAAGCACTGGCAAAACCAATACACACGGTAAAATGGAGAGCATTACCTCGCGAATTGTACAACACGAAATTCGAAAGCATGCATGTGCGCACGGTGTATTTATCACTCAACTGCATGTCAACACAATTCTTTGCTGCTTCCATTAGAAAAATATTCAACAAAATGTGTCTGATGCATGATTCCTCTGACATATGTGGAGCACAGTTTTCTTTATACATCTCACTCCCTTCATCTCACTACGCTGTGTACTCTTGTGTTCAGTTCCACATTGTTATTTATAGCTGGTCCCTCAGAACCTCCCAGCCTCATCATCATCTTCATCGTCGCCTACACCCTGTCTGATCCCTCTCCTCCTTTTCAACTGGGGCGAGCGAGAAGAACAGAAAAGAAAATCACGAACTTGGTGGAAGCACATCTTTTTTTTTTTTTTTGCGTTCGTGAGAAGCTGCCAAAGTCTCCAGCTGTGCAGTGCTGAGGAGCTCCTCTGCAGCTGTCAGAGCTGCGGCTTGATGTTGTTACTGAGGCAAATAGTGCAGGGGGAGAGGGCAGCAGAGCTCAGTGCACCGTCCCACAGGCTGCTTCAAATGAGTTCATGTGAAAGGAGCTGATGGAAGGGATGACTTTGCTGTGACACTTTGTGGTTTGTGTCTCTATTGATTGCTGACAGTTTTGGCAGGTAGGAATGTAAAAGAAAAAAATACCTGAGGTATTCAGGTTCAGTTTAATGCAGACTCAAGTTCACCGTTCGGCATATTGCAATATTTTAAATAAAAATCACACTTTGTTTTTCGCGAAAGCATAATCAAGACCGGTGGTAACCCTTTCAATTAAGTTACCAATCAGATTAAGTTGCTGTTAATCTATATCTATATCCCATTGCAAAGTAATGTTTTGTTGGAATTGGCAGTAGGGATGCACCTGTTTAACCCCGATTCTCCAAGACTTTTGAATGCCAGTTCAAATAAAATTCAATGATGCATATTGACAAAGATGGTACTGTAAAATCTCTCCATTAAAGCCCTACTGGGAGTAACGAACAATCCAGCCCATTAGAATATCATTATAATGATCCAGATCTGGACAGTATCGGCAACGCTACTGTTCTTAGATCAGGATCAGGTATCTGCCAATATGTGATTGATTTAATACAGTCGATGTTATTGTGTTTCCACTATCACTTATTAAATCAGACAGTTAAGCCACCAAAACAAAGTTTTTAATCCCACCACAATCTCTGGCCTTATGTTAACTTCCCAATGAGTTTCAAGCAGGGAGACATACAGATTTTAAATTTGGGACTACTAGTATCGGATCTGTATCGGCCTAATTATTAGTTCTTCTTTCGCTTACTGAAAGTACTTCAGATTATTCCGAATATATTGCCAGTAGTTTGAATTTGTAAAGCAAAAGGATGACTCACAAGGAACAAGGATTATTCACAAAGTTGTATTACAGCAATCCTGCTGCCACTGTGCCGGCTGTGAGTGTTGTGTCACTGTGTGTTGCTCTGATTTATTTGCTTGCTCTCTACCTTGTTTGTTGTTGGCATCCTGGGGATGATGACCGGAATGGGATCCTGGGGCGAAGTGCTCATCACTGTACGTGATCAGCGGGGTGAGTGGGTGGACTGCATGGGACGGCTGCACCACAGGGACTTTGTTGGACTGTGAAGAAAAATACAATACAAGAAGGCTCAAACAATATGAAAGATGACGACTTTATGTGTAAGCTTCAACTGCATTATTTCATGCGCAAATATGGCCCTGTTCCCTACCACATGATCTGGGCACTGGCACGGCACATAAAGTGCAGGTGCTCTGGCTCGTTGTAGATGTGGGTGAAGGGAAAAAGTAACTAAAAAACATTTCTTAATTTCTTCTCTTTTAGTAGCCTGAGCAGAGCACCTCAAAACTTTGTTTAGCCTAGGTCAGCAGCACTGAAAACCCTATTCCCTGAAGGAAAGAGGAAAAACAAGTCAAAGATGTGCATGAGCATGCTTGAGACAGCAAAAGAGAGTAAGACCTAAACAGAGCTGGAGCGAATAGGAGCGAACAAGCGATAGAGCAGAGAGGGGAGAGAAAAGAGAGATTCGCAGGGTAGAGTTAGAGCAGAGGTCTTAGGCGGGAGATCAAAGGCAGTCATTAGCTGGTGAATAAGGGGAGTTCATTACAGAGCAAGAGCCGGGGGAAGGAGAGATGAGGGATGGAGGAGGAGGAGAAGGGGGGCTGGCTATGGAGAGTGAGCGCGAGTGAGACAGATGTCTGCAGCGGTACTTAATGCAGGGGTAATCACGTCAACAGTGGCCTGGCCACAGGCCCCCCATCCCTGGCTGACTCAGAGAGACCTGCCTCCTGACAACTAAAATAGACCCAGCCAGGCCCAAAAAACCCCGGCCCCAACCCCCAGCCAACAGCGCTTACATGCTTCAGCAGCACTGAACACATGGTAATGCTTAGCCATGCTAAATCTACTATTCACAATCTGAGCCCAGAGCTGAGCTGGAGTCAAAATATCACCTCCACAGGATATATGGCTAATCGGAGAGACATCAGTTCACCGTTGGGTGAGAAACGTCTTACACCAAACGGCTCCCACACGCTTTGAATCAAAGAGTTTCATGAAATTATAATCAGCGGCTCTCACGGGAACAGTCACCTGATTAATAATGTTGTTGAAGACAGTCATCTAAATTTAGTTTGAGCATACATTTCTGAAGAGACAAAATAATCAAGGGACTGTTCTTTATTAGCTCTCACTTCGTTGTCCTAGGGAGGTGTCCGCCAAGGTGACATTCCTGAAATGCTAAGTGGTGGCTGGTGGCCATCCACACACACACACACACACACACACACACACACACAAGTATACACAAAACCTCCTGGACACAAGGGTGGTTGGAATGTCTGCGTTTCCCCGAACCTTTCGCAGACTGGCACCAGTCTCAACTTAAGACCACCCCCTCCCTCTTTCTCTTTCTCTCCCCGCCTTCTGGGAACGTGCAACCGGGAACACAAAAGGGCAGTATGTGTGGCGTCTGTGTGTGTGTGTGTCGAAAAAGTTCTCAGTATCCTCGACCACATGACGCGTCATCCACATCAGACTCCTTATCGGGGTGGGAATCTCATCTCCCAGGGCCTATTTCTTACCCAGTTCGTCTCTTGATATGAGCATCATAAGCCATCATCTGGCACAGTCCACATTGCACCATTTGAGATTGCACACGTTGCCCCGATTCAGCAAAAACAAGACAAATCCTGCCAGAAGACTAATAAAGCCATCGTGCAGAGGCTTTTCACATTAGCCCAGGTGAGTTTGGTTCTTTGACCCAGGTCAACAAGAGTCAAAGGTGATGGGATAATCTGCAAGTGTGGGAGTGTCAGACCTCATCCTACAAAGGGGAGGGCTTATTAGTAAAGGGCTGCTAACCCTAAAGGAGGACTAACCAGGGCGGCTGGGACGTGCCTACACCAGGGGCTAAATGATAGCATTCTCGCCCATATTATTTTACGCCTCTCCACTCCCATTTGTTATCCTGTGGGAATGAGATAAGAACCTGAGGGATTATCATTTTAACTTGAAGTCTTCTCCAACTTGTAGCACAAAGGAACACAAAGGAAAAGCCAGTGGAAACAAAAGTTAGTCTCTCTTGGTCACACACACACACACACACACACACACACACACACACACAAACTACGATATTGCAAAAAAAATAAAAAGGTGATTGACTCCTTAGCACCCCAGAAAGCTAGAGGCTTCTGACATAGAAGAGAAACCCTCTTTTACGCTTTTCCCAGTTACAGCTGTCAAATCCCATTTTTCTCAACTTCTTAATAAACTGCCTCCATTGTGGCAAAATCCACCAGGGTAAAACCTCTGTGACCAATACCGAATTTATGGCTATTGGGTGCACATTTACATAAACTGCATGCCATAACTAACCACGGTTTACTTTGTGAAGAAAGGACGAGCAATGAATTGTCATTTAGGCGTCTTACATCTTCATATCTTACTAAACATTCTTACATTTTCATGATGGGGAAAACTGAATCGGGGCTAAGTAAAATCCTCATATGTTTTGACTCTTTCACTTTAAAGTTACAGTCATTACGGGCTAACAGCCGTCATGGAGCCACCATTTTAATTCTTCCAGGTGGAGACTTGTTGGCTTGCTGCACCCACTTTGCAGATCTTGGCAAGGTTACACACCAAAAGCATGACACCCCTTTACCACTTTCCTGGAGGAAGTCGTTGGAGACACTCAAGTGACCACAACCATGAGGGTCATGCCACGTCGTTGCAATTTGATTCCCTCTCATCCCAATCCTGACTCTAAAAGGTCCTTAGCAGCAGCGGTGTTGTGATGGAGGGCGGCCATATTGGAGGTCCCTTTTATTGTACAGGAGAAATAATAGGCTTAGGATCTTTCTATTCATATTTTTCAGGGAGAGCGAAAGAGGAGAGGCGGCGAGGATTGAAAAGAAAACGTTCCATTTGGAATTTCATATCCAGGCTTGGCCGGCCCTTCTAAAGAACCTCTCAGATGTGGTTTTAAGAGAAATTCATTGTGCGGAACTGGAGCTGGCAGGGAGCCCTCCATGGAGGAGACACTCCAGTGTGTTTCAGCACGGGGAGCCAATGACTTGGCGTGCTGTCTGAAATTGGGGGTGGGGAAGGGAAATGGGACGTTTCGTTTTTTGTTTCTTTTTTTGTTTTTTTCTGAGGGAGGATTTTACTGACGGCACGCCGGTGTCTCTGAGCTTGTATTTTGTCAGATTCCACCAACATCCTGCCATGGTGTCTAAGCATGAGTGTGTGTTTGTACGCATGTCTATGTGGTATATGCAATAACTATCCCCGCAATATTGCCTTTTTAGCATTTCTCTCCCTCTCTCTCCTCACAGCACAGCTTTTGTACTCCACTCAATTATACCACTTCTGCAGAGTGGAGTGGGAAAAAGGGAAAGCGGGAATTTTATAATAATCACTTCCCACTTCTGTAATTTATATGCAATGAGGACTCTTCGCGCCTGCAGCTACAATCAAGTGTGTAGAAACCATGTGAGGTGTTTCACAAACAGCTGGGGAGATGGCAGCTCAAGTGGTGGCGACCGATTCCCATGCTGCTAAATCTTTTCACTAAGAAGCCCTTCTCACCCCAAAACCCTTCTTCACCTACTCATAGGATTTTCTGCACTCTGGAGGAAAAGGGACGCATCAAAAAAATAAGGCCAGGGATAACAGACGAGAAAAAAAATAAACTGAGGCAAGAAACAGTTTTTTGTTAGCAAACAGTATCATCAAAAGGTTTGCCGTACATTTCCAATAAAATTACATGATTCCCACCGCCTGAGGAAATAATTTAAAATAACTGGTAGAGAGCACACACCCTTCTATGACTGTTTAAATATCGTCTTTGGCTAATGTTTCCACTGACAATGTGATCATAAAGAAGGCAAGATTACAGAAGGAAAGCCTCTTTAAATCCAAAACTGAAGTATGAAGTAAGGGTGTGCCCAGCACAGATCTCACCCTCAGACCAGGTGTGCACTCCCAGGTGTGTTTGTGTGCAAGTTGTCTGTCCTTTTCCCAACAAAAGTGAGCAAACATTCTCCCATAGTAGCTTCACAGCGCAGTAAAAGAAAAGGGACCGTACCTCCCCTCCTCCCCTCCCTCTTTACCAAAACTAGAGGAGACCAACCTGAGGAAGCTTAAATAAATAACCAATTACCATTCGCAGAGCGGGTTGAACCCCACCAGCTTCGAGTGGAGTGCTAAAAATGGAATGTTTTATTGGCAGGATGGCCCCTTGGCCAGGGGGCTTAATGTAACGAAACCCAATTAATGAAGAAGAAAGCCGGGCCGCCAGCAAGCGAAGGAGCGCCACGCGCCTGGGGTAATGAGACGAACAAGCGAAGCCAACCACAGGGACAGGAGTGGTGGAGGCTACGAATAACAGGAAAAGCCTGCCCTGGAGAAAAATTTACATCTGTGAAGCGTCCCCCCCCCCCCCCCNNTCCAATCTCCCTCCTCCTTTCATTTCAATCATAAATCCTGCGTGCTAGTCAGAGTCCAAAAGTTGAAGAGAAGCAGTGACACTGAAGGCCGAGGCCAGTTGGTAAAAATGGGAAAAACACAAAAAAAAAAAAAGGTATAAAAGAGTATCACAAACGAAGCAGAATGGTGTTTGGTGGATAACTTAGAAGGCATATATGCTGCATACAGTACCACATAAGGTTTTAGTGGCCAAATATCCGCACATTTTTATCATGCGAGGAAACTTGTGACGCTGTCCTCTAAATAACAAGATTACGCCCACACAGACGCCCACACGCCAACACATTAACAAACGTGACCGACACATGCCACTGCATAAACATGGAATCCACACAGAAAGCACCAACTCAAAAGGCCCTGCACATACTGTAAAATATGGTCATGGTACTGCAATAACCCTGCATTTATTTAATTTAACACATACATGCTACATATGAACACAAAAGGAGCTATTAAGAGCTGACTGTCTTCTTTCCCACCACCACCAAGCACAACTGAATAAGACGAGGTGGATTACCCATCATCCTTCAGTTGGCATGAAGAGCGTATGCTCCAAGCAAACCAATCATGCTAGCTTCTCATACTGACATTCGGAATGTGCAAAGAA